GGAGAAGGTGGGGACATGTGCTCAAAAGTGAACCACCTCATGACTCCCTGATAGCAGGAGGCCAACATGTAGCCATTTGGTCCCAGTGGCCACCCAAAGTCCCTTCACCCTTCCTGCTGTCCCCAAGTCCCCAGTTCCGGCTGAAATTTCCTTCCCTCCCCCAGTGAGTACTGGGTACACATTCGCTGAATGGGGGGGAAAGAGGTGGAGAAGCCACTGGCGAGGCTGCAGTCATTAGTACAGGCTCCAGAGGAGCTTTCGTGCCTCCAGAAATGAATCTGCTTTAGTGTCTCCATCACTGGCCACACCATCCCAAACGGACAGGGTCTAGAATTCCTTCTATTTCCAGAAGAGGAAACTGCTCACCAGTTCTACTTTTGAATACAAGTCTCCACTCCCTTCCCTTGGGATTTTTCAAGTGAGGTGTCAGCAAACCTGGGAAGAGTGTGGTCATTGGAGAACCCCAGGGAGGCCCAGAGAACCCCAGGATGGTTTGTCTGCAGCCTCCAACCTTGCCCAAAGCCTGGGTTTTTCTACAGGCATCAGTCTCTGAGTTTCCGTAATACCAGTCTTGTGTTCCTGCAGTTGCAGACTCTCTAAGCCTCCCACCCACCACCTCCCTGTTTCAGAGGAGGAAACTGAGGCTCAGAGAGGTGAGCAGTTGGACAATTGCCCCCGGCCAAGCCACAGTATAAAATCCAAGCGGGCCTGGGGCAGACAATGTGTCTCTGATGGTCAAGGAACACCTCGCTGGGATGAACCTCTCCTGGAGATGGAAGCCGAGGCTAACAGCTAGTTACCATCCCCACCTTCATGGCTCTCTGCCAGGCCCTGTGTGGTCCCCACACGTTTCTCATAAGACCCCCCCCGGAAATCAAGCAATGAGGTGGATGTCCCCATGGTCTTCCTATGGAGGCCCAGGCGCAGTGACTCTCCCAGGGAGGCACAGGAGCGCAGCTGTGGATTTACTTTCCACATCTAGGGCGGCCTGGCCTTTCTACCTTTGCCCAAGCTACCAGGCCGCGCGCTGCCAATCCCTGGACCATCCACTTAATCTTCCCAATTTCACGAAGCAGATAGCAATGTCAAA